CTAGAAATTCATAAAAAATTTTCCTTTTATACTTAAGATTTGAAAATTTAATACAAGGCTCCTAAAATATTTTTACAATAGCATTTGAAAAATAAAAGAAATATATAGTCACACATTTTTTTTACAAGCATTTACAGTTCAAATTTTGACTTAATACATAAAAATTACGGCAATGTTAAAATTATCTTAGATCGAAATTCATACAAGTTTTTCTTTTTAATTCTAAGACTTGAGAATTTAATACAAGGCTCCTAAAATATTTTTACAATAGCAGTTGATAAATAAAAGAAATGTATACTCACATTTTTTTTACAAGCATTTAAATTTAAATTTTGACAACATATTAAAAATCACGAAATTCGCAAATGATTTTAAGCTAGAAATTCATAAAAAATTTTCTTTTTGTCAAGTTCAAATCTAAGATTTGAAAATTTTGAATAATATATAATATATCTTAGACAGATAAACCGTCTCCGTTCAGAATCGTTTTTCGTATACAATGATACCTATCATTGCATTCAAATTTAACCTACCCTAGTCAGAGGTCCACCCCACCCTCAATGTACAGCAGAGCGATACCCACTTACCCGCTTTTTTTTAATATGAAAATCGGAAATATGTATTCGGTTACGTCTTTGTAATTAGTTTATTACCTATCAATCTATGATACCAATTCGCCCCCTCCTCAAATGATCTTCAGATCCACGACTGTGCACTATATACACATATATTTACATATTATCTACTATTTTTAAGTAATCTAAGCAAGTAGGTACTATAAGTAATTTAATACGTCGTATAAATGTAAGTTGTAACATAAATTTTAAAATAAACAATTCACTTAACATTTTTCAAAAAAAAAAAAAAAAGTGTATATTTGAAACGTTATCATTAAACCAATATTTAATTGCATAATAATAAATGCAAAAACTGTTTTCCACCCAGATTAATGTTTTTTACACGTAATATTAATTATTACCTATATTATAGCCGTATAGATATTGTGGTACACTTACTTGTAATATAATCTTCGCCATTTTGTTTTTGCAGTTATAATAATACCTTGATACGTCTATTTTAGAATGATAAACGATTTTTAGCAGTTGAGAATGCTTGGAACGATCGACATGAACTAATGAATACTCACCACTGTAGTCGGGCATTTATACGAAAATCGAAATCATTTTAGGTGATGAAATAATACAATCCAGTGTTTAGGTACCTATCTAATAAACGATAAGAGTATTTAATGCGTTTTGCTAACATCTGCGGTGAGTTTACATTTCCGCTCCGGCAAGTTTGGTCTGACGAAAATGTTTATATTAGTAAACATTGTTTCACTAAATAATTATTCTTAATATTATCGTCGGTGGCGCTAAGGTATGAGAGGTCAGCCGTGGTTACTAACAAAACCGCCTCACCACAATGTCAGTGATATACTCAAACTCATTGCTTCTGCTCAGACTTTTGTAATATTCTGTTTTATATCTACTACAGTATGTAGGACATTCACAACTTTATCTGGGACGTATATAGTTTTACGGTCTCTGAAGGTCCACGAAATCAAAACCGCGGTTCAGACGCGTCCTGCAGTCGTTTGATTTGGTCATCCAATTYAGAATCACGAGACGGTTTCTAAATCTCTGCAGCAGTTTTCAGACTTGCCATCATTATCCTGTCGACGACGTTTCGAATTTTCGACATTTAAATCTGTTAAACTATTGTGATATTTAYTAACACATCATATTATATTCACATAATTATATTTTTACTAACCTAATAATAATACCAAAGCAAATATTTGAAATATTTAATGATAATTTACTAGGTACCTATTATACGTTTATTATATTATGCTTCTTTTCGGGTGATGTATTTTTTTTATACCTCATGTAGGTACTAGATGCTAATGTAGCGTAAGAATGAAAATACGGTCTTATATTTCTATTTCATAATTGCTATTTATTTTTAATATTTTCTAATTTCTATAAGAACAACTTATTTGAATTATTTTATTAAATTTTCGACAGATTTCGTAAAAATTTGAACTATAAACGCTTATAAAAAAAAATTGTGACTWACGATKTTTAATGTTTTTTAGCTACAATAAGAACAGCTCATAAGGAACCTTATATTAAATTTTCAAGTTTTTTTGGTCGTCCAACATTTTTTTACCGACACTTCAAAAA